AACAATGAACGACGCTTTATCCCGTGTAAAATAAACGTGCCTGACAAGTCCCGTAGGAGGGTTGTAGTGAAAATTAGAACTAAATGGATCAAGGGATAAAGGAACCGTCATGTTTAGCCTCTTCTGCATTACGGTAGTTTGAAATGATTATGGAATGTACACACATACGATAGTATGACACATAGTTATGGGCCACGCACTCCGTGAGAAATAAAAACAGAAAATGACAACGCTCACTCGTGTGTCGCTTCATTTGACCGATGCGATACGTTAATCCATTTAGGGCTCATCCAAGCTATTCATATGAATGATGCATTTTTCCTTACCGCCATGTTGCGGCGAGAGCTGTTAAGCACTTAGATTGACCCGCGCTTTTTCGTCCGAATGAAACGGACTATATCAAGTAATACAAGTGGGAAAGTGTTTCATCAAAGCATTTTTTGAAAAGCGTTAATGTAGGGGCAAGAATGATTTTAGTCGGAAGGGCGTTCCAGGATCGGGGCACAAGAAGAGAGAAAGCGTTTAGTCGACAAGTAACTCGACAGTAGCTTGTGGCTAGTTTGAGCTGGGATCAATTCAGACTGACATTTTGGCTCGGCTACAACCGCTTGTGACAAGGGTGAACTGGATTCGTCAGTATTAAGTTAACCATGATTAGGTCTCCTCGCTGTCGTCGATACTCACCGCTGTACAATCGCAGGGAGTAAAGTCTGCGCTGGTAGGGGAGGTGAAACAATCCTCTAATGAGTTTTGTCCCTCTACCTTGCTGAGCTACAAGTGCGTCGAAGTTGGCCGTGCGCCAGGGTCGCAAGATCTGAACTGCGTATTACTCCTGAGGCCTCAGGCAGGCGTACAAAATTTGTGGAAAGATTGATGGAGCAGAATTTCTGAAAGACATTCCTAAGAGTCCAAAATGTTGACTGGTTCTTTTCGACGCCTTTCCAGCCTGTCTCGAACGGCTAAGGTCATTCTGCACGATCACTCCGAGGTCGCATTCCTAGGAAGCAAGATGCATCTGCTGCTCCCCCAGTAGATCTTCTTGCGTAAGCTGATGGTGTATGCTCACCTCTTCGTATCTCGCCAAGTTAAACTGATGCCGGTGTTCGGATGACCAAGTACAGGTCATGTTGAGATCGCTGTGCACTGCTGTAGGATAGTCCACTGTCTGATGTCATGCATGATTTTGACATCGTTTGCAAATAGTATGAAGTTAGGTTGTAGTACACTAGCAAGCTCGTTAATAAATACTATAAATGAATAATGGTCGCCCGAGTATCAATCCTTGGGGCACGACAAACTGGAAGTCAATTGGATCGGAAATGGAGTGGCGGACTCTCACATTCAGCTGAGGTTGAAGAAGGAAGTTACCGATCCAACCGAGCACAGGGTCAGCGATTCCATAGCTTCGAAGCTTGTGCAGGAGAATGCGGTTATCCAAACAACCGAACGTTTTCGAGAAGCCTAGGTAGACGACATCGACTCCCACTCTGACATCGAACGATTCTGCCCAGGTTGTTCCGGCTAGAAGCAAGTTTGTCGTGCAAGACCGATTTCGGCGGAGTCCTTGCTGTTGTGACACCAGGATGTTGTTGCTCTCAAGGCATTTCATGAGCACCACTGTGACTATCCGTTCCATTACTATAAATAAAACTGGGGGAGAGTGATTGGGCGGTCGTTCGAGGGCTCTGCATGATTACCACTTTGTAAATATGAGTGACTAGTCCATGTTTCCACATCGTGGGAACTTGCATTTCCTCTAGACAAAGTTGAAAGAACCGAGCTGATAGTTCGGCAAGGTTCATGGCAGCTGTCTTCAATGCCTGCGGTTTGAGGTCGTCCGCGTCAGGTGAGCTGTGCACGCGCGATGACATTAGCTTTTTCGTCACATTGGCTGCCGTGAACGACATGTGGTTTGCCCGTGGTGGTGGTGGGAGCTATGCCAAAAGCGGGTGAGATGATGATTCACCAGAAAGTGTGTATGAAATGTTAGCGAAGTGCGTTGGCCATCTCTAGCGTAGTTTGCGCCAGACCATCTGCTGCACGTAAAACAGGGATCCCCCGCCGCTGCACTCTACGGAGCACGTTGACGTATCAGTACTGCAAGTTAGGATTTTTACTGAATTTCGCCGCTAAGTTCTGTTCGTGCCCGACTTTGTTTTCGCGGATCAACTTGACAATGCTTTCGTTGAATTGTGTAAGCATCACGTCTGATTACTCTGACAGGCTTTGTAAGCATGCCCGGTTGAATCAATTAAGGCCATGCATGTTCTAGTGCGGCTCCTCAGAAAGAACTTCATTTGCTTCGAGCGAAAGACCTTGCATTCCAACGCATTTGCCACTAGCCCGCGGAATCATGTGACAAACACCATCTGTGTGACATCGGGCGGCTTCTCGGCTTGAAAGAACCAGTCGGTATCTTGAACGAGGTCGGCCAGGATACCGTAATGTGTAACTACATGTTTCGTTGTTGAACAATGAACACTGATTTACCACGGGTAAAACAGCATGTGCTTGACAAAACCCGCAGGATGGTTGCAGTAAAAATTAAAATTGAAGGGATCATCAAATAAATAAACCGTTATTTTAAGTGTCTACCGGTTTAAATGCATTACTGCATAACAGTAGTTAGAAGGGGAAATAGGATGTGTGCACACAAAATAATATAAGTTGCCGTTATAGCTCAGTAAATGCTTGAAAAAGGAAATTATAAACGCCCACGCCCAATCGGGTGTTGCTTCATGTGACAAATGCGGCATGTTACTCCAGTTTAGATACATTCAAGCTAATCACATGGACATTTCTTCATGTGTCCTCACCACCACGTTGCGGACAGGGCCGTTGAGCACATGGTTAGGTTTGCGTTATTTCTTCCTCCGAGTAACCGATGTAACGAAAGAGCAACATCGCGTGATCGCAACGGCCAATTGATTCATCTATGGTTACGGTGTCGACCATTCTTTCCTCGATGGTCAGCATAAGGTCCAAAACTGAGGGTGCATCATCTGTCCTGAATCAAGTAGGAGAGGTGACATGGCTGTACAGATGTACATCGGCGATTAACTCTTACAAGTCCGCCTTGAATTGTTCGTTGAGCGATGCTGGGACTTCGATTGCGCGAAGTTGAAGTCTCCCACCGGAAGGATGTGACTGTGTGGTTGTATCAAGACTCGCTTCCTAGCAGAAGCGAAACGGTTATCCATTTCCAAGATGGACTTTGGACGGCGGTAAACTATTGTTAGTAGACACACCTCACCACGTCTTAGATGCATTCGCCACCACAGAGAATCGACAACTTGCGTTTCCGGATCGTCGATGATGTCAACATGCAAGTTGGACCGAGAATACAAGAGCACTCTGCTTCCTCTGCTGCGTCGATAATTTCGTATGGATCAATCTCAACAGCATTGATTTCCGCGCTTAGACATCAAGTCATTATGTTGTGGAGGATGTTGCGGCAGGTCAATGCTCCTATCTACTCACAAACACGACTTGTAAACGTGGCTCTTCCTGGAGCATGCCATGTAAGTGTGGCAGCCCTGGTAGAGGTTCCATTTCGCACTGGATTCGCCGAGACGAATGGTAACTAAGAAGGTCATAGGCATTTTCTCTGCGGTACCAACTTATACCGAAATCCCTAGTGCTGTACTACGGATGGAATCATAGTCTACAGAGTGACCAAATTTTGACCTAAAGGATTTTAAAGTGCCCTAGTCACACTGACCAACATCACCTGAAACTGCCCGTTGTTAGCCGGCTGGAACATCAGCGGAATTTCTCCCCTCTCAATTTGTCAACCCCTGAACGCTTTTCTTACTCGTGTCATTTAAGAAGACTGTGTTATCTGTATTCAAATAACAAGTTTACGATGCACTACGTCTGTAATATCCCATCATGTGTTATTCATCGGGTGAGGCGATGACACAGTCACTGTGCTTGCGTGCCACTTACTTGTGGGAAAACTGATTTATTATTGTCGCCCAATGGAGCTGTGAGGCTGCACCTGGGCGTAACTATTGCGTTATAAACGATAAGTCCATTCTTTCGTGAGTGAAACTATGGTTTCATTGTATTCGTCTCAGCAGCACACGGGCTACATAACGAAATCCCATCCGGACGCGCGTTTGGCCCCGTTGAGACTGGTCAGTGGAGCGCATGTCCCGGTCCCCTACTGGGGATCAAACCCACCAGACTACCCACAAAGCTTGTAAAGCAGTTCTTCTTAACGCGTATGAAGTATTGTTCTTTGTTCCATTTAGTGTTTATATGAATATTATCATGGAGCCAAAGGTGCTAGATTTGCTTGATTGGGACGTTTGTTTATGAGCATGCTATTCGCACGCAAACTATCCAGCTGAACGTGTTTAGGTATAATGATTTAACCCACAAGGAACTAACTTTCCATTGTTTAAATTTATTCCAAAGTCAAATGTACACAGATCTGCATAATCCGGATCACTGGTTAACAATGAACTGTCTTGCGTTAATCCATCTTCTTTGCTGGACCTACCCGATTTTGTGTAGAAAAATGTAAAGCAACTTTGACATCCTAAAAGACTGTACAGTTGGAGCCTAGCCAAATAAAAGGAAAGCCAAACTGTCAATCTGTCAGTTGGATGTCAGTCCTGTTTTCCTACGTGCTACCCAGCTGTTCAGTGTTTTTGACAGTTTGACGACTCGGTGTTTGATCAAATCACCCAATTTAAGAGACTTTTTTTAGTAGAGATAAGCTGAAAATGCTTGGTCGCATTTCGAAGTCTATGCAGAGGTTCGCACAGGCAAAGGACAAACCAATTACACACCTTCCTGCTAGAGCTTCACTGTTGTGTAGGCGGTGATTGATCCTCCAACTTTCATAAAATAATAGTTGGGTTCAAACTGTGGTATGCAAATTTCAACTTTGGTTTGCATATCACTGAAGGATTTTTGTCTAGACATCCAATGTTATATATTTTTACGTGGACATGTTCCTTTAATGCTGGGGAACTACAGGGGATAAACAGGTTAGATTAATGCAGTTTGCATGCAAATAAGTCCCATGTGGACTCTGTATACCTAATATGATACCGCTTCGTAATTCACCTGAATAGTATTGCGGTGACTGCAAGCACCTTGATCACAGCGCACCCAAATATCACGGCAAATGACTGTCTACATCAAAGCGGTATTTTTCAACTCCTGAATTTGGACACAATTCCCATTCGCCGGATTTTTGCGCTCTGAATAAGGAGTTATTTTCAGACTGTGGCGAAAGCAGTTTGTCTGTACTACACATTGTTTCTCCTTTGTTCAGTTGAGCAAGAATTGTGAAGTCTTGTTTCTCATGTTAGACTATCTTCACCCCACCGACCAGCTGGTTCCGGTTCTGTAAGGACTTTAATGCTTTTGGCTTCGAAGCCGTGGTTCCGCCTTGTCTTCAACCTGCAACGAAAAATTGGAGATGAATTGAAATGGTATTTCACCGCGCCTGGATGTTCCAAATTTTCCTACAGGTTCTGACTTTGTTGCTTTTTAATCTCTATGGTAATCTGATCGGTAGTCGAAATGCCGATTGCGATGGTTGGCCCTGGCGTATGGTGGCAGTACGGTGAAACTATCATTGGATTCGAGTTCACGCAGTGCGATATGTATCAACAACGTTTCAGACAGGCCTGCCAACTAGAAAGCGTAGGATTCAGTGGGATACCACACATACTAATGGGGCATCGTGCGTAAGTCAAATCGTTCAAGACCGTGCTTGAGGGGATCACCGTAACGTGGTTAGATGCATTCGATTAAACCTGGACAAAATAATTAACCCAATTTCTTGCTAAAACCATGTAATGCATACTAATAGGGAATGGACTTCATGCATGCAAGACAACCTTGTGGATGAGGAGCGGCCGTTTTCAATCTTTAAGCACTAAGCATTTTAATCTAAACATGTACACAACTCGGTTGCGCGCCATATCTTGAATTGTTACCAGTCCTCAGCACTAGTCGTCTTTTGGTCCCCAACCATGTAACCTTGCGGATCCAACGATAGCAAGACATTAAGTCCACGATTTCATACGATTAACCAACGCGTGGTTTCTTCCAGCCAAGTCGTGCACAAGCGAAAAGTGCGAAATGGGGCAAACGCTTAGCTGACGTACACAGGACGTGAACGGGCTATCTTAACTGAAGCACCAAAACCAGTTTGATTATGGGAATAGTCGCATTCACTTAGACACAACAGCTGGTTTCAAAGTTGCAGATACGTTTTGCCACCACACTCGAGCAATCCTCCTTAAGTGTCTAGTGTCGAAAGCTGAGAGACGACGCACGTCACCTACGCGAATTGGCCATGACTCACTGACATATAGAAACACCGCACGAATGGTGGCATTGTAAACATGCGCCTTTACCAATAGGGAGACATGCCGACGATGCCATAAGTGTTACAGTTTGACAAACGCAGACAGCGCTTTGGTGACGCGGAGGGAAAATTCCTTGCTGATGGCGCCACTAGCAGACACGCAGCTGCCCATGCATACTAAAACGTCAACGGTTCACACCTATATTCCTACAAGGGTGAGCACGGGAACGAGCACTTGCCAATCCATCATGTTCATGTCCAGTTGGGACCGAAACGATAGGACAATCCCGTGAAACTTCCTTCTTCCTGGAGCAGTATTTTGCATTTGACGGTGCGAAGCACGTTCCGTACATAGAAGCTCAAACGCTAAACGAATTAGAGTGGTTTGCATGTTTCAGGAATCGTCACCAAGTGGGACGATGTCATAAGCGTAATGCAAGTCGCTTTTCTCGCTTACCCGCTGGTACTTTGGTCCAAAATGTGCTCTCGACATGACGTCTTCAATCACAAAATTAAATAAGAATTTGGACCTAGGACAGCCCTGTAGTACATCAGTATTGACAGCGAAGGACCAAGAAAACTCATCGTATATCTTTACTCTGTCGGGGACGTGGAGGTAAAGTGCAGGCAGTATGGTAGTATACTTTCCCGTGACCCCGTTCCTTAACGCCATAGTGCCGGGTCGATCAACCTAGTGGAATGCAGCATGGATGTCTAAGAACACAAAGATGATAGGTCTCTTGTAAAGCTGGAGGTTTTCGAGGATTTGGCGGAGCGTGAAGATTTGATTCACTCACCCGCGGCCAGGACGGGAGTCAGCTTGTTCTTCCGGGTACTGTGATTCACGAAACGAGGATAAGCTACGCACTAGAATTGATGCCAATAGCTTGGGCGCCATCGAAATGTGACCGATCCTCCGGTGATTAGCGCATGAAGTGCAAGTACTATCCTTAATAACCGGGACGATAACTGATTCGCTCCTTTAAGAAGGCGCCTCATGTCAGATTTTGGAGAACAATGTGGTTAGCTGGCTGAAGATAACTGCGCCCAATTACTTGAACGATTCCGGAGGCAGTCAGTCTGAGCCGGCACCCTTGAATCGTTTCAAATGTTGAATCGTAAGACAAACTATCGCTTCGCAAGGTGGAGCAAGTGCGACGACCCAGGGTTGGCAGCTGGGTTCGCAAAGCATAAAAGTGCACTGTGAGGGCCAAGGGAACTGGAAATGCAAATGTTCCGCCCATCAATCCAAGCCACTCTGTATGTTGTTAATTGGTGCAAAATCCGCTTCTTCAATAGTCTCGCTGACATCAGGTTTACTGCGGCCAGTCGATTGAATGGGCTGGAACGGCTTGCGAGTATTTCCGGAGAGGGTAGTGTCCTCCTTTTCTGAAGCACACTGAGACCACCAAGCTTTAAGATCACTACGCAGGCTTGGTTTGAGCTGCTGACTGAAAGAAAAGAGCACCTCATTATGAGTAAACTCCGTCGGGATATTTCTGCGGCAGACAAATTGAGCCAGTGAGCGCGTGGAGATCCGGATTTTCATAGGATGCTGCGTAAGGCCACAGTCTAACTGCCCGGAGGAGATCATGGTCTTCTTTATGAACGTCCAGTGTTTATCCATGTCTTAATGTGGATCGCAAATGAGTGCATCGGTAAGGGTAGAATTATAGCTCTGCTCCATCGAGAGAGTATTTAAGTTATTTTTACTTACCTTACAGTGCTTCGCTTTTGGTGACCCTATGAGATGCACGCAAACATTCGCCCAGACAAGAAGATGAACTGAATGAGGAATTGGGGACCAGATTGATCTGCAATCCTGTACACTATCCCGCCATCTGAAACTGATTGCGATATGCCCAATCTGAGGCAGTGATGGCGGCGCAGAAGAGAGGCCGTCTCCTGGAATGCCGGAAGCTGGTGCCGGAAGCTGGTGTGGTAATTTTCCCTTATCTGAGTGACTCCCAACGAGCGCATGGTGACAAAGTTGGTAACCTTTCCATTATATTAGACGAGTGACCTGTGCGCTGAAAGCCCCAGCGCAATGGAGTTCGCACTCAGCCGCCGCCACTGTCCGATACAGAAGCTTTGCTGCGCGGCATCAAGTTTTCGAGGTCTCGTGACAGCGCAGAACAGGATCCAGAGAAGAAACGAAGTTTCGCTTAACAAGCTTACCGTTTCATATTTTAATATCATTGGTTGAAGTGATTTATCGGCTGCAGGTTGCAAAATGGCCCAAATGGGACTAACTGTGGGATGAACAAAATCCTCCTATTTTCCAGCAATGGGTTGTTTTTCTGCTCCAGAATGATGCAGGTCCTCATGCAACATTTTGTTTTCATGCGGCAGGCGCTTCGCATTCGCAACCCCAGCATTTTCCTATCAGCCTTGCAACGAAAAGAGATAACAAGCTGATGAACGAAATTACCTTTTCCTCAATGTACCGAAATTTTCTATGGGAAATGGTTTTCCGTCGCTGGAAACTTCTCCGGAAATTCACGTCAAATGAAGCGAAAGCATAGATTGTTCACAAGTTAGCTGAGCGTTGATTGAATCTTCAAATCGGTTAATATGGTGTTTCGGTATATTAGTAGCTCGGGTTGATGACGCAGTTGTGTATTTGCCCATCGATCCTGGCAGTTTGGTGGCAAACGCTTTGCTACCATGCAAGTTGGAATCCTCAGTGCAGTGAAAGGCAGGGGGTGATCTTACGGATCAACGTCGATCCGCGATCGACGTGCAGGTGAACTCTGAAAGTGGCGGCTTCAATTTGCATCCAGTGATCTTCACCCATTTTTCACGTGACCGAAGTCGGCACTCCAGCTTTTCTGTTTAAGTAGCGTCCTAGAGTCCTTCCGATTTCTCTCTGTCGGTGCAGCTGACATACTGAGTATGGTGATTGATTTCTTTGTGGAGAACCATGCTACTAGGAACGCTCTTTCTCTGCGTGTTTCTCCTCATGCTGGAACTTCTGTATTGGCCTAATCAAAGCTGTGTCCTTCTTCATCCATCTGCACGTAGCCCTTTCCGAGTCCATAACACTGTGCCGCATTTGACAATTGTTCTCAACATACAGATCAGGAATTTAACTCCGAGCGTGCGCCGCCAAATAGTACTAGCACCTCTTATCTAACGCCCCGTTTCTAATTCAAGCTAGCAACCTTTAAGTTCCCGACACTTAAGCATATCGGATCACGAGTAGCCCTTGCTCACACGCTTGTTGCTACTGCCATTGGCATCTGTACCTTCACGGAAATTCTATTACAAGACCATAGCACAACGCTATGAATGGTTTCACCATTGCGCTTCTCTGGGGAGCCATGGCTGAAGCCGCTGGTAATGCGGGCATGACGACTGCATTGCGTACGCGTGCTGAGGCTACGCTACTAGATTGGATCCCTGTCAACAGTGGACTGTGTGCGAGCCGACTCGAAACCTCGGTACGACCTTCCAGTTTCGGAGCCAGCAGCGGCTGCTTTTTCTTTGTAGCAGTTTACGCTCCCGCAGACTGCTGCCCGAAGTCAGTTAAAGACGAATTTTACTCTCAACCGTCCGAGTTTCTGCGAAAAAAACGCAGCACCGACATAGGGGTGCTAGCAGCGGACTTAAACAGGCAGGTCGGTAGACCTGGGTTGAAGAGCAGGAACTCGGTGGTCAACATGGCCATGACACTCACATAACCGACAACGATGATCGTCTACTACAGTTCCTCGCCGGTCACGGCCTATTCCTATCGAGCACTGGTCTTAGATGATCCTGATGTCAACGCGAAACCTGCAGGCCTCCGTCACTCGACAATGTCATCATCAATTAACACTGGCGGGGTTGCATACAGGAGTGTAAATCAATCTGGAGCACTTACCACAATTTGGACCACGCGTTCGTGTGTGCGAAATTCATTTTCCGTTTTGTTGGTTCTCTACGTTGTCACATGAAATAGCTTGGTGGATAAGCTTGCTGTCCCAAGCGTTCTCAGCGCCTTTCAGGACGCTTTGTCCTCAAGTCTCAAGAGCACCTCGTACTCAGTTGTTGAAACAAACTGGGCACAAGCCCGCAGCACCATGCACAACTCTGCGACCCT